GAAAGGAACAGTGTTAGGGATTTAATTGCAATTAGGAAGCATTGGACAATGCAGGATATTAACTGAGAGAAAGCAAGGTTTGTTAAACAGAAACACAATATATTTTTTAAAAAATCTGTATTAGAGGCAAGCTTTTGCTTAGGTGTACCTTAGAATATTTAATGAACTCTTGTGATGCTTTTTTTCTCATACCCATTTTACATTTCTAACTTGGTTGCATATAAGAAAACACATTTAGGGGTGCCTGGGTGGCTCAGTAGGTTAAGCGTCCTACTTTGACTCAGGTCATGATCTCACAGTTTGTGGGTTTGAGCCCTGTGTCAGGCTCTGTGCTGACAGCTCAGAGCCTGGAGTCTGCTTCAGATTCTGTGTGTGTGTGTGTGTCTCTCTCTGCCCCTCCCCTGCTCACACTGTCTCAAAAATAAACATTAAAAAAAAAAGAAAAAGAAAAAACAAGAAAACACATTTATAGATGTGGATCAGCACCTGTGTCTGAAATTACTAACTTGCTGAGTGATTTTAAGTCAATAATTTTTTGGTTCTCAATATCTCATTTGAAGAAGCTGAATTAGAAGATTCTGAAGGTTCTTACCAGTTCCAAAACTCTACTTCTATAACATACCTATGCACATTAGAATGTGATGACTATAGTGTACCCAAGATATCAAAATAATCAAAATGTATATGTGAATACTAGCCTCAAGTTTGGTAAACATGATAGCATCAGAAGCTAGCCTCTGTAGATGAGACTGATTCCCATCAAGGGATAATTAACCTACTACCATTAGATGAAGCCCTGGGTTATTATCTTAGGTTGGTGTATTTCTAGCATATTTGCATGAAATATTTAAATGTCTGAAATTCTGTTCCTCTCTTTATAAATATTTTGGTTTCCCGGTACTTTCTAATATTTTAAGAGAAAATTTTTTTTCATTTCTTTAATGTTTGTTTATTTTTGAGAGAGAGAGAGAGAGCACACGCGCGCACACACAGTTGGGGGAGGAGCACAGAGAGAGGGAGACACAGAATCCAAAGTAGGTTCCAGGCTCTAGGCTCCAAGCTGTCAGCACAGAACCCGGTGTGGGGCTAGAACTCAGGAGCAGTGAGATCATGACCTAAACCTAAGTGGGATGCTTAACTGATTGAGCTATCCAGGTGCACCTTAAGAGAAAATTTTAATTGATAGTAACTTCTATTAGAGGATACCAAGTTTGGTGGTAGGTGCCATAGAAAGAAAATCTGTCTTTTGTGGGCTTTGTGATATAGTAATCTATCAGTTAGAACAAATACACATGAAATTATGGTAGAAACTGAAAGGTAAAGAATTGACTTCACATGCTTATTCAGAAATGGCTATTTAAGATAATATTACTAGAATTGGGGAAATGATACTATGTGTTTTCTGTCTTAAGCAATTTTTTAAAATATAAATTTTATAAATATAAAAATATGCTAAGATTAACCTGTATATATACTAAAACACTTTTTAAAATTGATTTTTCATTTACACAAATGGTATCTAAAGGCATTCTGTCCAAAACTAAAACATTATAGATGAGGCTAAAATTGCCTTTGACCACCACCCTAATTTTTCTCCAGTTCGCTCTCTTTTTGGAGGTAAGTACTATTGTTGGTTTTGTGTGTGCCCTTTCAGATAATTTCCAGTGCACTTTCTCACAAAGATTTGATTCTTTCCTGTACTACATATGCTAGCAAGCCTAGACCCCTGTGTTTATTAATGATAAATGGGAAAACAATGGCACTCAGGAAAGACTTTTTACACTAGGCTTGATACCAAAGTGAAGAAAACTACACTGGTAGAGGGTAAGTCATATCAGGGGCAGTGTGTGTGTGTGTGTGTGTGTGTGTGTGTGTGTGTGCACGTGCGCACGTGCGTGTGTATGTGTGATATGTACACAAATCTGGTTCACAAGATACTCTGTATCTCAGTTTTCATATCTATATCCCATAATGCGATGACCCAAAACCTCTACGGTTTTGTTCAGCTGTCACCTTCTATTGGTCTATTATTTCCAGTCCTAATATAGCTGAAAAAATGACTATGTAACAGGGCTTCCGCTTTTCCCCGATGGCATTTAGTCTTAGTTTCTGTTTATACAACTTAATATTATTTGCAAAAGCTGGATACATACTCTTTTGCTCAAAACATATCCAGTTCAGACCTGGTTCCCACAAACCAGCAGGAAAGATCTAATAATGTTAGTTATCCTTTCACACCATTTCATGGTTATTCCTTATCAGTTTTATCCAACTCACTTGGAAATAATCCCACTAAGTTTACACTCTCATACTTGTCTGGGTACCATCGCAATCCCCTCAATCACACCAACCTTGGTGGGCAAAGCTGGTACCTCATGTGATGTTCTATGAGCTCTCACTTCAGAGCTGCACATTAAGCTTAGCTTCTATACCCCTTTCTTGGATGTCTCATGTTTCCTTTCTCCAACTCACTGCTACCCATACTGAAGTATCAAAAAGTAGGTTTGTTTTTTTTTAAATCTCTTTTAAAAGTTTGTTATTTCTACACTTATGTAGAAGTATTTTTAATCAGCTAATTTTCTTTCTCTATCAAATACATAGTGATATTATCTGGGTGCCAGTATTCATTTACAAGCTCAGCATTCTGGCCCTGCATCTGTGGCATTATGATCTGTTGTTTTCTAACATTCTTTAAGTCTCCCTCCTCAGCCAGATTTGCTGTTATTCTCCACCTCCCATGAAGCAAAGAACTGGTGCAGAGAGCTAAACACAGGGGAATAACATGCTAAGAGTTCCTTTTTGTTTTCAAAGTGGTAAGAAAAAAAGGAAAATAAAAATAAACGTCATGAAAACATTTATAATTTCAAAGCCCAGTGGAAATTACTTTTGCAAATTTGTAACCTCTTTATAATTATGTCTTCATTATTAACAATCCTGAGCAGTTGAACTGCTAGTTAATTTGAGGTTTCGAAATAGGCTTGAATAATATTCGGCCATAAAAATGCCATTCATATGTAACCACTGACAGGTGCCAGTTGGTTGAGGTATCTTGTTTCTATTTTACAGGTGTCAGATCTGGCTTGCTTCAGCCCGCCTCTGTGCCTGTGATTTCCAGTTAAAACTTCATCACACGTAGATGACTGGAAAACAGTATAGACATGAGAGGAAGAGATTCAACTTGAGGTACAAACATTCCTTAATGATTACCAGAAAAATCTCCAGAGTGAACACATTCAAAAGCATATAATAAAATATTTGAAGCCAATGGGAATTTAATGTGTCCATCTTGGATTTAATTTGACATTAATTGACATTTTTAGGATGTGTGAAAAGACAAAGTTAATGTGGTATTCTTAAGGGGTCATGAAATATATTGCTTTTTATAGATGATTTGAGTCTTGTGTTAAAAAATCTGTGCTTTAATTAAATCAACAATTCTTTCAAGATTAAGAAAGACATTAAAAGCATATGAGTTTATGCCTTTTTATGAGCCAGCAATGCTCCTAGAAGTTAGTGGTAATCTATATTTCAGATATTTTTATGGTAATTGCTTTCAGATTTTAAGGAAGCCAAGTTCAAACATTTCTAGAGAAACATCTGGTGCTGGTCTTAGTTCTCTAGGGTGCAAAGAAATGCTGTTTATCTGTAATCTTTGTGCCCAGAAGGGAAACAAACAAAAAAAAAAACTTGTGATTTTTATAGGACTCATTTCCTCATGTACACCAGTACCATTATAACATTGATAGCCTCTTTCTGATACACAAAACTGGTGCCCTCCCTCTAGTACACTGTGTTAGTAACAAATAAGCCTGAAGTTTTTTACTTTCTTGAAGTCAGCAATACAATTCTCATCAGTTTCCTTGTGTCTCTAGGTGGACTTTTAAGATTTACTACATCAGTCATTGTCCAATCTAGTGCCAAATGGCTACACTTCTAAAATAATCGTCATGCAAGTGTATAATATTCTTTGGCTTCATACATACAAATCCTCTTCATTTTAGGCTAAGCCTATCCTACAAGTTTGGAATACATCTTCTTTGATGCTGCATAATTTTAGAGCCATGCTATTGCCTAAAATTGGGCCATAATTTTCAGTCCAGGCCATAATTTTTCATATGTACAGAAAGTTTAATAATAGAGTGATGTGAAAATTATATTAAAATTTCAGACTCACACCAAAGCAAAACTGTAGCATAGTTAATTGGAAGGTAGATTTACCAGTATTTTCTTTATAGTGTTTTTCTTAAATATTAAGAAATTTATTTGCCACACTGGTATCAAATAATTATCTTTTAATAATTTATTGTTCCTTTCCTGCATATTTGAAATATAATATGTTCAATCATAACATGTATACACTCTTGCATGACATAGCGGCTCTGTCCTTTTTTTTTTTCCTTTCCAAAACTCTGTATTCAGGAGTCTGCAAATGCTTTTTGTGAAAGACCAAATAGCAAATATTTTCAGCTTTGTTGGAAGTACTCAAGTATGCTACTATACCACAAAAACAGCCACAGTCAACATATAAAGGAATGGGTGTAGCTGCATCCCAATAAATGTTTACAAAAGTAGGTGCTACCCATGGGTCCTAGTAGCTTTGGTAGCTTTTATGTTCTCAGAAGCACATAAACCTCTGACAAACGATTTCAGGTCTTGTTCATGGTTATATCTACTTTTTAAGGATAGATTTTAGCATGTAGTATGTACCCAATACAAATCCTGAGTGAAAAAAATAATTTCTGTTCTATGTTCAAGCAAATATAATTTATATGGGTAAGAATAATAGTTAAAAGTGTACTTCATCATCCAAAATGGTGGAGTAGGGAACTCAAAGAGCATGTCTCACTGCAAAAACACTAGAAAACCTGGCAAAAACTGTCAGAATCAACTTTGTCAGAACTCTGGAAAACAGTCAAAGGTTTATAGCAATCAACTGAACTTTTGATCAATAGAAAGGCAACTGAACACTGGAAAGAGAACTACAGAACAATTTAACTTACCCTTGACTTCACTTCCCCCAGATGGGTGGCAGTCTTGAAGATGGCAGTCCACATCCCTAGTGTGGGCTCCTAGGGCCAAAGGGAACATAGCAAACTTTGTTTTCAAAGAAATGTGACTGTCTGTTTTGACCTCTCTTGCAGTTCCCTGAAGCCTAATGCAAAGAGTTTGCTTTTATTTCTCTAACTCAAAGCTCTTTCAGAGCAGAGAAGGAGTAACATGGCTGCAGAAGTCAGTGGTTGAAAACATTCGAAGGCAAATGAACTATGTGCTGCCACATAAGGCAAATGATATCAATTGTGGGAAACAAGAGACACCTCAAAAAGCTGGAAGGAATTGCTGGAAAAGAGATGCTTTTGAGGAATAAGGACTTTGAAAGTCCTCATGTATATTAAGTAATCTACAAGGCCATGCTCATGATCTGAGTTAGAAATATGCTAAAAAAAATATTTGAGAAGATCCTAAACCCTTAACTGTCATAGGCATTCAAGCCTATGCAAATATGAAAACAAGGCCAAGCTATACTGTAAACAGCTGGAGCACTGAAGAATGTTACAACAAACATACACAGACCTGTGCAAAGACTGGGGGATTTTTTTTTCGCTCCAGGCATCTAGAGACTTTAAGGCCCACATGCAACAAAGTCTTTAGTCTCTCCCAAAATATTTTATAAATGTCACTAAACAAATAAGTAAAACCCACAAGCAGCAACAACAAACTCTGGGGAAGGAGGAGAATTTGAATTCCAGAGTTACTACATTATAATATTTATTTATTTTAATGTTTATTTATTTTTGATAGAGAGAGAACATGAACAGGGCAGGGGGAGAGATAGAGGGAGCCAGGGGATCTGAAGAGGGCTCTGCCCTGATAGCAGTAAGCCCAATGTGGGGCTTGAATACATGAACCATAAGATCATGATCTGAGCCAAAGTCTTAACCGAGTCACTGAGGCACATCAATATATTATAATATTTAAAATATCAAGTTGTCAACAAAAATTGTGAAGCATGCCAAGAAACTATGGTCTATTTATAGGCACACACAAAGAAACAAATAGAAACTGTCCCTGAGAAAGCCCTTTGGAGTTATGAGACAAAGATTTAAATCAACTTTTTAAAATATGCTTAAAGAGCTAAATGTAATAATGAACATAAAAAACTAAAGGGAAACAGGAAAAGAATGTATCATCAAATAGAGAATGTCAATAAAAAGAACAAATTTAGGCACTGAAAAGTATAACAGTCAAAATGAAAAATTCATTGGAAGATATCAACATCAGATTTGAGCAGGAAGAAGAAAGAATCCGTGAACTTGAAAATAGGACAATTGAAATTATCCAGTCTGAGAGGCAGAAAGAAAAAATAAAGAAACTTCCCCAAAAAATAGAAGAGGGAAAACTTTCTAATTCACTTTGTGAAGCCAACATAATTTTGAAACCAAAGCCAAAGACATCACAATAAAGGAAAACTACAGACCAGTATCTCTAATGAATATAGATGCAAAAGTCCTTGACTGAATTTTGGTAACCCCAATTCAGCAGCATATTGAAAGATTATACACCATGGCCATGTGGGATTTATCCTAGGAATGCTACGATGATTCGACATATAAAAGCTAACTGATATGATGCACCACATAAATAGAATGAAGGGGGAAAAAACACGTGATCATGTCAATTGTTAAAGAAAAGCATTTGACAAAATCCAATAATCTTTCATGGGTAAAACATGCCACAAAAAAAGAATAGAAAGAAACTTGCTCAGAAAAATAAGGGGCGGGGTGCCTGGGTGGCTTAGGCGGCTAAGCGTCCGACTTTCGCTTAGGTCATGATCTCCCTGTTCGTGGGTTTGAGCCCCGCGTCGGGCTCTGTGCTGACTGCCAGCTCAGAGCCTGGAGCCTGTTTCAGTCTGTGACTCCCTATCTCTCTGACCCTCCCCTGCTCACGCTGTCTCTCTCTTTCTCCTAGAAATAAATAAAACATTAAAAAAAATTTTTTTTTAAAAGAAAAATAAAGGGCATTTTTGAAAAACAAAACCAAACCCCCAAAAACATTTTAATTAAAAGACTAAAGATTTTTTCCATATGACCAGGAACAAGACAAGAATGCCTGCTTTTACTACTTCTACTCAACATTTTACTGAAAGTTCTAGCTAAAACAATTACGCAATAATAAAAAGAGGTAAAAATCATCCAGATTGGAAAGGAAGAAGTAAAACTATCTCTTTTCACAGATGACATGATCTTATATAAAGGGAGTCCTAAAAAATTAACAACATAACTATTAGAGCTAGTAAATTACTCAAAGTTTTACAATATCAAGACACAAAAATCAGTTACATTTTAACATACTAATAGTGAATAATCCAAAAAAAATAGTGAACAATTCAAAAAAGGAAATTAAGAAAAAAGTATCTTCTACAAAAGCATCAAAAAATAAAATACTTATTAACAAATTAAGCTAACGAGGTACAAAATTTATACAGTGAAAACTATGAAAACAATGCTGAAAAAATTAAAGAAATAGACAAAAGGAAAAATACCCTTTGTTCATAGATTGGAAATGTATTATTATTAAGATGGCAATACTCTACAAGGTTATCTACAAATTGAGGCAAACCCTGTCAAAACATAATGACCTTTTTTTTTTTGCAGAGATGGAAAAAATACTAAAATTCATATGAAATTGCAAATTACCTCTAGTAATCAAAGCAGTCTTGAAAAAGAAGACTCACACTTCCCAATTTCAAAATTTACTACAAACTATAGTAATCAAAAAAGTTTGGTACTGGCATAAAGATAAACATATGGCTCAGTGGAATAGAAGTGAGAGTTCAGAAATCAGCGCTTACATCTTTAGCCAATTGATTTCTGACAAGAGTGTCAAGGTCTTTTAATGGAGGTGGGCAAAATAGGTTCTTCAACAAATGATTCTGTAAAATCTGGATTATCTACATGCGAAAGAATAAAGGTGACTATCTACCTCACTTAATATTTAAAAAATTAACTCAAAATGGATCAAAAATATAAGATACAAAACTATAACATTCTTAGAATAAAAACACTGGAGTAAATCATGATGTTGGATTTGGCAATGGATGCTGAAATATGACACCAAAAACAACAGCAAAATGGATATATTAGACTTCATCAAAATGAAAACTTCTTGTGAATCAAAGGACACTATCAAGAGAGTGAAAAGACGACTCACAGTATAGTAGAAAATATTTGCAAATGATATACCTGATAACGGTCTAGTGTATATACATGTAAAAGAACTCTTACAACTCAACAAAAGGAAAAACAACACAAATTGAAAATGAGCCACAGACTAGTCATCTGGGTGCCTCAGTTGGTTAAGCAGCCAACTCTTGCTTTTGGCTCAGGTCATGGTCTTGAGATCTGTGAGCTCAAGCCCCACATCAGGCTCCATGCTGACAGCATAGAGACCACTTGGGATTCTGTCTCCCTCTCTCTCTGCCCCTCCCCTGCTCATACATGCTCTCTCTTTCAAAATAAATAAATAAACTTAAGGAAAAAGAGAGCCAAGGCATTCTTTCAAACAGGATACAAAATGTCCAAAAAGTACAGGAAAAGATGCTCTGCATCATTTGCCATTAGGAAAATGCAAATCCAAACCATAATGGGATAACACTTTATATCTAATAAGATGGCTATAATTTAAAAATGGAAAATAAGAGGTGCTGATGCATATGTGGACAAATTGGAGCCCTTATGCATTGCTGGAAGGAATGTAAAGTGGGGCAGCTGCTGTGGAAAACGGTTTGGCAGTTACTCAAAAATTTAAACATAGAATTGTCATATAATTCCCAATTCCCAAAATTCCAAAAGAATTTATAATATATGACATGTGGTCAAACAAGCACTTGTACAACAATGTTCACAGTAACACTATTCACAATAACCAAAAAATGGGAGGAAAATTCTCCATCAACTAATGAAATGATGAAAAATATGTTATATCTACACAGTGGAATATTATTCAGTCGTAAGAAATATGAAATACTGGGGAACCTGAGTGGCTCATGACTGAGCATCCGACTCTGGATTTTGGCTCACGTCATGATCTCACACTTTGTTGAGACTGAGCCCCATGCTGGGCTCTGCACTGACAATGAGTAGCCTGCTTAAAGATTCTCTCTCCCTCTTTGCCCTTCCCCCACTCCTCGCTCTCCCTCTCTCTCTCTCTGAAAATAAATAAATAAAAATTAAATAAATAAAAATGAAATACCGATACATTCTACAATATAGATGAAGCTTGAAAACATGTTGATTGAAAGAAACCAGATACCAAAGCCTACATATCATGTACATGTGATTTTACTTACACTAGATATCCAGAAAGGGCAAATTCATAGAAACATAAAGCAGATTAATGGTAGCCAGGGGCTGAGGGAAAGGAGAATGGGAAATGACTAATAAATGTGTACCATGTTTCTTTTTGGGGTGATAAAAATGTCTGGAACTACACAGAGTTAATGTTTGCACAATATTTTGAATGTATTAAATTCCATTCAATTGTACTCTAAAAACGGTTAAACTGATAAATTTTATGTTGTGTGCATTAACCATCAAAGTACATGGCATGAGTTTTAAAAACAAATTAATAGGAGCACCTGGGTGGCTCAGTCAGTTAAGCATCTGACTTTGGCTCAGGTCATGATCTCATGGCTCATGAATTCCAGCCTGTGTTAGGCTCTGTGCTGATAGCTCAGAGCGTGAAGCCTGCTTCGGGTTCTGTGTCTCCCTCTCTCTCCGCCCCTCCCCTGTTCATGCTCTTTCTCTCTCTCTCTCCCTCAAAAATAAACATTTAATTAAAAAAATAAATTAATATAAATATATAAATATTTATATATCTCAATTATAAAACTATATGATGCCACCTGACTCTATTTCCACTTTAGTATTGTCTTAAGCATCAAGGCCTTGAGTGTCAGAAAGCCTTGGTTAATAGCTTTTACCACTGAAAAAACATTTATAAATGGGGGCACCTGGGTGGCTCAGTTGGTTGCACTTCTGACTTTGGCTCAGTCGTGATCTTGTGTTTGTGG